AGTCTGGGGGCCGGCCCAGTGGCGCACTGGATAGTGCGCTGCTTGGGAAGCGTGGCGGCGCTCCCGCCCGAGGGGTCGGATCCCACATACAGACCGGTTCCCGCTCACTGGCTGGGCGAGGGGCGGGGGCGGCGCCGAGGGTTGCGATCCCGTTGCCGGTCCCCGGTCCGGTACGGGGGCAACACTGAGGGTTGCGATCCACTGCCGGACACGGAAAAAAAGACAAAAGACAAAAAAAAAAAAAAAAAAAAGAAACTCCAGTCTGGACCTCAGTCTTTTCAGCAAACTGCACCCCCTGCAGTTCAGTATCCCTGACCAGTCTCCACTGAGTGGTCCTGTGCTGATTGGGGGGCATATCAGCTGTCCGTGCTGTACCCCAGTGCTCCCCTGGTGGGCCCGTCTCCCCCACCCCCCTTGCTCCAAACATATCCCCTGGGACGGGCCATGCTTCAGTCCCTCACAATGACTCACTGGCCTCTGAGTGGCTCCTTTTTTCTGTTGTCTGTGGCTCCTCACTCCTATGTGGGCCACAGGAACCCCGTTAGTGGTCTTGCTGGCCTGGGGGCCACCAAGGCCCTCTTCTCCCCTGCCGCCACCAAGCAACTTCATTTGAAGGGCACAGCTGCAGCTTTGCCAGCTCCTGCTCTGTGTGCTCACCAGGTCCAGCCCTGAAGCGGCCGGGGCTTAAAGTGGTGAGAGCAGTCCTTTCTCTCACTGTGGCTTCTCCTGCCTTCATGCATTCCATAGGTCTCTCTTCCTCTTTCCCTGAGCTCTAGCGGCCCCAGCTTGGCTGTAGTTGCTTTTTAATAGTTGTAAATTGGTTGGTTTGTGGGAGAGAGTGACCAGGGGACCATCTATTCCACCATCTTGACCGGAAGCCTCACAAATTTGTTTTTAAAAATTTTGATAACTATACTATGTATTTAAAACCATTATTCTGAAACAGGATCCATAGGCCTCACCAGACAGCCAGAGTCTAAGGTATAGAAAAGGTTAAGACCTCTATATTAGAACATCTGCCTAACTTAGAATAATAGTTGACTCTTGAGGAGGATGTTGGCACAAAGAGGCAGTACCTTTTCCAGTTTGTGTGGGGATGGAGGCATGTTGGGGGAATGAAGTAGGAAGCATGAGAGCAGAGTCAAAGGGGTCAGAGGCCAGGGGGCTCATGGCTGTGGGGCGGGGCAGGCAGGCAGGGGTGGGGGCATTGGGGGAGGTGGTGTTCTATTCCAAGGTCAACACTTAAGAAAATTAGTTGAGATAGGAATAATGGTTCTCTAAAAAAAAAGAAAGAAAGAAAAACCTTTGAGGCAGATGTAGGACTGAGGCCAAGATACAACCGAGGAAGAATTGTTAATATGAGAAATGAGCACCCCAGAGATGTTCAGATCAGATAAAAGCAGGGTTTTTAAAAGGAATGATAGCATTCAGTGGGTTGAGTGAGTATCAGTAACTAGTTGAGTAACTGATCTGGTTGAATGACCTTCAGTAACAATGTGGTGGAAGGCCTGGTTACCTGGAGGGTTTGGGAAAGAAAGTGGCTGCCAGCAACCATGGAAGGAGAGTGTGGACATATTAAGAAGCTGTAGCCTGATTCCTTTCTCCTTATGTTCTTCCTGCAGATTTACCACCATTTTGACATAAGGCTTTGAGTTCTATTCTCAGGTTTGGGGGTCTAAGAGAAAGGGGTTACAATTAACCGAGTTTGTTTAATGAGAGCATTCAGTGCTGGTTGGAGATCTAGGGAAATGGGCATTTTTCTGGAACGCATTTTCTGGATGAGTATTAAGTACCCTTAAAAATGTTCATGCCCTTTAACATAGTAGTTTCATTTCTAGGAATTTAGCCCAAAGGGATAATCCAAGACACAGCTTGATATTTATTATATGGGCATGCTGCCAAGTATGGATCAGGCCATCACATCTGGGGCATGACTGGTGACAATTAGCTTTGTACCCCATGAATATTCATAACCGATAAAAAAAAAGATGTTTATTATAGTTTTATTATAGTGAAAAATCAGAAATAATTAAATGCTCAAAATAGGATATAGAGTAAATTATGGTACATCTTAAATCATGGGAAATTATCTGGCTATTTAAAATGTCTACAAGAGGGACAGCCCGTAGCTCACTCGGGAGAGTGTGGTGCTGATGACACCAAGGCCATGGGTTCAGATCCCATATAGGGATGGCCGGTTAGCTCAGTGGGTGAGCGTGGTGCTGACAACACCAACTCAAGGGTTAAGATCCCCTTACCGGTCATCTTTTAAAAAAAAAAAATCGTTATTGTTGCCATTCTCTATTTATAATATTTTTAAAGAGGCAGGTGTTAGTGGATCAGAGAATGAGTTAAGGCTTTCAAGGCCTCCCGAGGTGAACTAGGAGCTGAGGACTGTGTGCTGTTTGGGAGGAGAGAGGCTGGACCCTTTGGATGGGTGACCCAAGAGGAAGAGGCCCCATTTCAAGCCTTGGTCTCTAGAAGAGACCTGCTGCCTTAATCTGCATTCTGAAGTGATGTAAAAGTTACTTCTTGCATTCCAGGGCCTCCTCATGCTGCTACAGAACCTCCCTACAATACACTGGGGCAACGAAGAGATCGGGCTGCTTCTCGCCGAGGCATACAGACTCAAGTATATGTTTGCCGACGCCCCCAATCACTACCGCCGATAGGTGCTGTCTCTCCCTAGGGACCCAGACTGCCCCATCTCTGATGGCAATCTGATCACTGTGGCCACTGTGCGAGCTGTGGACCCCAGCCAGGAACCACTCCTGCTGTAAAAAGCTCACACCCGCCGCCCAAGTCTTAACGTTTTGGCGTCTGCCACTTCGTATCTCTGGATGTGTCTCTTGGATCACTGTCAGTATTCCATGCCATGTGGATGGGCCCAGCTCTGGGAGAGGACAGAAAAGGAGGTACAGGGTTGTCTGCCCCTTTAGAAGAAACTGGACAAAAGAAGGGGAAGGCTCAGGGTCTCAACTCACATTGTCCCTACATGGACTGGCTGTCTCTTGCCTCCAGGCGCCAACTGATACTGTTCCTTTTTGTGACATAGTTTGATTTGGTCACAGGTCAAAGACACCATATGTTTTCAGAAGACTCCTGGCCCCTGTTCCCTCTCCTTGATTTCCTAGCCCTTCCCTTTCTGCCCTAGTATGAGCCAGTGAGGGGCAGCTTTTTAAGGCCATCGTTCTGGATGGAAGAGGCACTGATGCCTGTCACACTGGGAAGAGGGCTACACCCAAGGGCTAGGAATTTGATTTTTCCTTTTCCCATCAGATGTCTGTATGTGTGCATATGTGAGAGTGTGTGTGTATACATGCCCATCAGCATTTAGTTACAGGTCTGAATATCTGTGTTCAGACTAGCCTCATCAGAGCCAGTTGGGAAGGGCCCCAGTGACCAAGTGTATAAGCATCACTTGAGAAGGATCAGGGCAGGGGAGGGAAAAGGGGCTTTTTACCTCTCCAAACCATTTTCCATGATGACCCACTCCAAGATATTATGTGTAAATTGTGTTATTATGTATATGGGTAAAGATGTACAAATATATGTCCTCTTTGTATCAGATATGATTTTATATTTATAATGTGCAGCAACATGTGAAAGCAATCTAGGTCACTAGCACAGATGAAGTTGCTAGGCAGGTGGCTTCAGCGCCTCCAGCGCCTCCAGGTTGGTTTCTGGGTGCTGTGCTGTGAGGGAAGTAAAATGGGAGTTAGCCAGGTGAGTACAGCTGAGCAGGTGAGCTGCTTTGAAAACCAGTGGCAACCATCCCAAGCGTCAGTGTCGCCGAGTTTTCCTCTTTGCCCCTTCCTTCCCACCCCTCCCTGGGCCTTTCTGGAGTCTCTGCCCTGCTCCTCTCCCTCTTCAGCACCCTTCACCCCCAGCAGCCTCCCTGAAAAGGGACTGCAGAGGCAGAAGCCCTTTCTACGTGTTGTACACCTGCCTTCCCCTGCCCCCCTCTGAATCTGGGGAGGGCTTTTGTTTTTATATTTTAAAGTCAGCATTGTATTCAGGACAGAAGCTGTGACTGACTAGTCAGTGCCAAGGAAAGGGGTTTCCTGTGTGTCCCTGGGGTTTGGGGCTCATTTCAGAGAGTAGTATTTGGTGTCCCATACTATCACCATCACACCCCACACAGCTCATGAGATGTGTGACCCATGTTCGATTTTTGGTGTTTGATAGTAGAGACATGGGAGGGGGAGGGGGGCAAGCCCCTGTCATCCTCTTGGGAAGCCAGGCAGTGTTCCCAGTGGGTGACACCCTTGAGTCTCTCACCAGCGAAGCCCCACCACACCACACTGACATGAGTTAGGTTTCTCATCTGGAGCTGTTTCTCAGGCATTCTTCCTAACCTTTTTTTTTCTTCCTCCCTTTTGGTGTGCCTCAGTAGTCTCCTTCACAGAGTGAAAGGGCTGTGACCCTCTCTCAACTGGACTAATTAGAGAAAGACACTTGTGTTCCCAAGTGGTGTTTTTATTTTTTTAGTTTTTATGTTTGTATGGGAAATTGTGGATAAAGTGAAAGAATTGTAAATAAATAGTGTATTTGCTCCTCCATCTGCTGATTTTTCTCCCATGAACGTATAACCTGGAACCTAAGGATTCTTCTCTTCTTGGGTTTTTCTTGCTGATACTAGTATGTATGGGAAAAGCAGGAGATCAACAGAAGATCAAAAGGCGTTCCCAGAGGATGTCAGCAAACACTTATGAGCACCTACTCTGTGGAAGGTACTGTGGAAGCTAGGAAACATGGTTCCTAATAGCTGAAGTTTATAGAGCACCTTACCATGTGCCAAGCACTGTGATAAACACATTACATGGATTATTTTATTTACCCAAAAGGAGTATATAATCTAATGGAGGTTAGAAAATGGATTAGAATTTCAGTGCTGGACAAAAAGCCTAGAGATATCTGTTTTAACACCGTCATTGTTTATAGAGGAAGGACCCTACCCAAGGCCAAGACCCTGAGAGCAGCATCAGAGTTAGAACTAGAGTCTAGATCTCTTCCTGGACTGCCTGGTTACTGTGTTTTGCGCCAAACAATATAGAACTAAATGTATGGAACTGAGACTAGCCCTCCATCTAGGGTCTTCATTAAGGCTTTTTTTTGTTATTGGCTGTTGATTTTTCTCTTGTTAATCTTACTGTGAAATGTCTCAAGAGAGGTAGGTAGTGGCATTTTTCGTCTACAAAGGACAGATTGGAATGGTTTCTCCACCCAGAACTCCTTCCTAGGATTCATTTGAGAATGTTTCTTGGTTTCAAATTAAATTCAGTTATGTGTAACCAAAAATAACAGTGACTTACACAAGAGGGGAATTTACTTCTCCTTCATGTAAACATTCAGAAGTAGGTAACCCAGGGCTGGTATGACTCTGTTTCACAAAGTCCTTAGGAACCTGGACTCCTTCCCTAGGTCTTTATGGTCACAATGGTAGCACTCCAGCTGTTTTTACATCTGCTTTCCAAGCAACAGGATGGATTAAAGAGGGGACAAAGAAAAAAGAAAGAAGGGAACGTGCCAGCAGTGTTTTAAGGAAGGATCCAGGAAGCTGTCCCATAACATTTCCTTTTACATCTCAAGAGCAGAACTTAGTTCGTGGTAGATAACACCTGGTTTCAAGGGTGGTCGGGGGACTATTCTTTTCCAGGCAGCCATATGCTTGGTTAAAACTCAGGATTCTATTACTATGGATGAAGGGGAAAACAGATATTAGGATTCAGGTAACAATCTCTACAATAGGAACTTATGAAAATAGAGACAGACTTTCCCATAAGCATGGGGGGAGGGGGATCTGGCTTTGAAATTCAAGTGACTGTCCACAATTAACTTTGGAATTTAACCTTTGTCATAAAACATGGACACTATTTCTACTTGATATTATTTGGACTGAAGTCATTAGTTATTCGTGAGGCTGAAAAGAACTGATCTGAACTAGTCTTTATTCAAAAATTCTGTTTTTCATTTATGCAGGAAGTCAAGCATTTTCTGAAATATTTTTCATCATGACTAGAAAATTAATGAAATCTTCCAAACTAATCCTAGCTGCCATGATTTGAATGTGTCCCCCAGAGTACATGTATTGGAAACTTAATCCCTAATGTGACAGTGTTGACAGGTGGGACCTTTAAAAGGTGATTAAATCATGAGGCCTCTCTATCTTCGTGAATGGATTAGTGGCATTATCACGGGAATGGGTTCCTGATAAAAAGGATGAGTTCAGCCCCCTTTTTCTCTTGCTCTGTTCTGTCATGCATGCCCTCTTGTCCCTCCACCATGGGATGACACACCACAAAGGCCCTCACCAAATGTGGCCCTCTTGATCTTGGACTTCTCAGCCTCCAAAACTATAAGAAATAAATCTTTGCTCTTTATAAATTACCCAGTCTCAGGTATTGTTATAGCAGCACAAAATGGACTAAGACACTGGCATACTCTGACCTGCAGTTTATTCAATATTTCTGCAATCTAAAACTCTACAGTTCTACTTAAATAGACCCCACCTCTGTTTGTATTCATCTGTGAAGGGTTAGTGGCCCAGATTCCTCAAATAGTGACCTCATTTGCTTCTAGGGGCAAGAGCATCTTGGTGACAGCATTCGGCTTGCTCTGGGTTGATCTTTGCACATCAGAACAGCTATGTGAAGCTTTGAGGATTGAAAGCAGAAACTAAGCCACAGTAACTGAGCCTTCATATCTCTGTGAGGACTTCCAACACTCACTTCCTGGGTAGAGACAGTTTTGGAAGCTGCTATAGACACCAAGGTGGTGATTTTAGATTCATGATGAAAAAGATGAGATTCCCACAGAATCAGAGCAGAAAGCACATTACTGCAAAACAGAATCTTCTGAGCCTGTGCCAACTTGCCCTGGTAGTTGCAGCACACCCACAGCTGTGGCAAATCAAAGCATTCTCCAAGGAAAAGCATCCTCTTATTTTGGCAAGGTCTGAATTAGAATTCTTTGAAGCAAGGAGAACCCCTTGTTCAGTTTGCTTCTGCAGGTGGTTTGTGAACTGTGGTTGCTGGATAGTGAGTGTTGCAGTCTCTGCCTGATGTGATAGCTGTTGTGGGGAATCTGGGAACCAGACCTGGGGCTACTTTTGCTTGTAGGGACACTAAGCTTGTCTCAATAGTGACCCTACTACACCCAGCCCAGCTATGTGAGAGAGGAAAACCCAGACCTTCTCTTCAAACCATTGGTCTCCAAACTTCTTCCATTTTTTACTTTTAACCTATATATGTGTTTATACTTAATGTGGGTTTCTTTTTCTTTTTTTTTTTGGCTGTGCCCCCACCGCCCTCATGTGGATTTCTTAAAAAAAGAATATAGTGGGGTCTTGTTCTCCAATCCAGTCTGGCAATCTCTTGTTTTTAATGGGTGCTTTTAGACCACTTACAATTAATGTTATCAATATGGTTGGATTTAGGCCTACCATTTTATTTGTTTTCTGTTTGTTTCTCTTTCTCCCCTTTCCTGCCACCTTTTTAATTGTTTGAATTTTTTTGTGTGTGTGTGTGCATGTGTGTGTGGCTGGCTGGTAGGAGGATCCGAATGTTTGAATATTTTAATGTGTGTCTATTGACTTTTGGCTATCTCTGCATTTTTTTAATCTAAGGATTATAGTATACATAAGTACCTGATTGCTCACAGTTTACTTACAGTTAATATTTTATCACTTCCTGTAAAATGTAGAAGACTTAACAACCTTTTAGGTCTTTTTTTACCTTCCCCCTCCCTCCCCTTATGTTATAGTTGTTATATGAATGACATCTACATACGATGAAAGCCTTACCAGATATTGTTATAATATTGTTTCCTATTGTCATACATATTTTAAAGAACTAAGAGGAGATAGTTACCATTTATCTCTTCCCTCATTCCTTAAGTTCCAAGTTTCCTTCTGAAATTATTTCCCTTTAGCCTGAAAAACTTTCTTTATCACTTCTTTTAGTGTAGGTCTACCAACAATTCTCTTAGTTTACCTTCATCTGAGAAGGTATTTTGCTTTCATTACGGAATATATTTCCTCTGGATATAGATTGTGTGTGTGTGTGTGTGCACGCGTGTGTGTTTCTGGCATTTTTTTTTTCTTTCATAATTGAGATTTTATTGGTTGTGTTCAGGATCATTACACAGACATTTCAGTTTGTATACAATTCTTAATGTATGTACCGGAATTCTAAAAAGCCACGTATTGTGATTTTTTTTTGAAAAGTCATTCCAGTGACTTTCCAGCTTCAAATTTGGGGGCAAATTTTTCTTAAGAGGGTATCAAGTACTAGTATCTCCACATGTTAGTAGGACATAAGTCCCACCAATTCACAATTTAATATCATGTACACTACGTGCTCAAATTTTCAATCATTCACAATACATTAACAAAATTTTTAGGAAAACTGGACTGCCATGACCAAAGATGTTACAAAGTGCACACAATTCTGACAGGGAGAGGAACAATTAAGTAGTTTTCTATAAGGAACAATTCTAAAAAACATGGGAATAGAAGTAATTTTAAATGTTCAAGACACATTAAATGTACAACTATGACTCTAAATTGCCATTTAATATGCTTTGTCTTATAGGATATAAAAACTACCCACCCATCTATGTAATGTTAAGCTGACACCCAAGACAGTCAAGCCTCCCATAATTCAGTATTCCACTATTTTCTGATTGTACCACAAAATAAACAACCAGCAGATGATTTCACCTCTTAAAGCATTTACACTTAAAAAAAAATGGGATGAGAAAGGATTCTCTCCTTCTTAAAAATGTTTCCAGAACAACTAAAAAATTTGCATTTACAAAATAGTTTATAAAATATTCCTCTGGATCGTACAAGGGTGACAGGGACCACTGATAAGACATGGTAGATACTATTAATCTGGCTTGGCTTCTTTCTCTCCTGCTTCATCCGAGGCTGGAGTATCCTTGTTTTTAGTTTCTCCATTTTCTACAGGTAAGTCTTTAGATTCTTGGTTAGTCACTTTGGCTTGTTTTCCCTTTGTCCTGCTTTTCCCTTTGTCCTGCTTTTCCCTTTTGGTTTCACTTTTTTGTCTTAAGATTTTTTTCTTTGCTGCTGCCTTTTTTGGCTTTGTTTCTATTTTTGCACAACAGGTTTAGGTGACAACCTCACTGACATCCTGGGCTCTCCCTTCGCTGCCTTCGGTTGAGCTGACATTCCTCTTGGGCGTCCTGGCAGTGGGGAGGGCGCCTGCCGGTGCCTGCAGGGCTGCGTCGCACCAAGAGCCCTCGCGGAGCTGGGCTGCCTGGCCACTGCCGCTCCTCCCACCACCCAAGCTGCTGGGACTCGTGGCTGGGGCAGTAGGAAAACCAGATTTCTGGCACTTTAAAGATGTTCCACTGTCTTCTTTCTTCCATGGTTTCTGATAAGAAATCCACAGTCATTGAAATCATTGTTCTGTATTTCATCATTTTTCCCAGACTGCTTTTGTTAAAAACTGTGATAAAATGTATGTAACATAAAATTTACCATCTTCACCATTTTTAAGCATACAGTTGAGGAGTGTTAAGTACATTCACATTGTTG